CGAGCTAATGGGTTAAAATGTTCTACAAAAATATTTCCCATGCAATTTTATTATATATGTCTTAAACTTTGATTTCGCTCAGACATTTATTTTAACTATTTTTTCGACTTTATTGAAAACTACTTAGGCCGATACATGAAAACTTTAGTAGGCCATGAAATAAAAATACGAGCTAACTTTTGCAAATCCACCGGGAGTATTATTACTGGATGGGTATACTTTCAGAGAATGTTAACAAAGTCCGGGCTGGTTTCGGCTGTCCCACAGTGTAATTTGAGTTTAACTTTTTAGACAGGTGGCCACTCTCTTCAACCACCTCAAAAATATTTTAATTGTTGCATAGTATTTTAATCACAACACTTTTTAACTATATTCGACTTTTCAAACAGGTGGCACCCCTCCTAAATGTAATTAAAAAATAAAGCTTATTCAAAACCATCGATTGATACCTATAACCATATTACATATTTATGACTTGGTGTTAAATATTTAACGCAAACATCTCCGAACTCAATTAAGAAGTTTCAACTAAAAATATTTTTGGAAAATTCGAATTAAATCGAATTTGCACCACCAAATTTCGAATCGAATAATCGAATGGTTTGGCAATGTTCGAAATTCGGAAAAAATCGAATTTCAACCCCCCACTACCCATCCCTACTTGGGTGGCCTTACTGTATCTGCTATATACTGCCCCCCTCGTCATAACATAGCGGAAAAACAATTTGATGACTTTTTCCTAAAGTTTGGCAGTAAGTTTATTGTAGCAGGAGACTACAAAGCCAAACGTACATTCTGGGGGTCTAGATTGATTACACCAAAGGGTAGAAATCTATATTAAGTAATCCAGAACAGAGGATTTGGCGTATTGTCTACTGGTCAGCCAACGTATTGGCCTTCTGACCCCCAAAAAATACCCGATCTTATTGGCTTTGGTGTAACAAAGGGTATTGCGCGACACCAAGTTAATACAGAAGCATAATTTGATCTCTCTTCAGATCATTCTCCCTGCCTCATAACATTATCAATGTTTCTTAACTATGAAGAAAAACAAAAAAATCTTACAAATAAACACACAAACTGGTTAAATTACAAAAAGTATGTCAGTTCGTACATTGACCCGCAAATTCTTATTCGGACCAAGAATGATATCGACAGGGCAGCTGTCTCACTGATATAATAGTTAAGGCCGCAGAAATTGCTACACCAAATCCTTCTATTAAACATCGCAGTTCTTACTGCCCTGGCCTGCACACCCCAAACATTCTTAACTTAATAAGTAAAAAGCGCAGATTAAAAAGAGAATGACAAAGAATTCGCTGTCCAAAGCTTAAACAGGAGCTGAATGCATGTACAAAGAAATTACGTATTTTGTTGCAGCGAAAAAAGAAAGAAGTACGCAGTCGATCCTCCAGTCCTTGTCTGCCTCGAAACAGACAGACTACTCCCTTTGGCGAACACTGAATCATGCGAAGAGGCCCGTTCTTCGAGAAGCACCATTACGTACTCAGAACGGAAGCTGGGCGAGGAATGATGAGGGTAAAGCAAACGCTTTCGCCTGTCATCTTTCACAAGCCTTTAGACCCAATGAAGGCGCTCATCCTTCCAATATTTCAATACATCTCAGTACCACAAATCCGCTTCGGTTTAAAAAGAGAGATTTAATTAACACCAGAAGAATAAAGCGCCTGGTTACGAAAGGATTACAGGTGAAATGATAAAGGAGCTTCCACTAACTGCCGTAAGTTTTTTATTACATATTTTTAGTAACATGCTTAAGTTGGGGCACTTCCACGATTTATAGAAACTTTCAGAAATAATTATGGTGCCAAAGCCGACGAGCAAAGATCCGACGGTAGTAAAATTCATATCGGCCCATTAGCTTGATTTCTGTATTTTCCAAATATTTGAAAAACTTTTATTGAAAAAAATACAACCTTCTCTAACAAGTAACCAAATAATACCACCACATCAGTTTGGTTTTCGTGAAAAACATGGAACTGTAGAACAAGTTCATAGAATTGTTTCTTGTATTAGAAAAGCCTTCGAAGGGAAGCAATCAGGGACCGAAGATAACAGTTATTGATGGAAACTGTCATGCAAAATTCACTATGAAGGAAATGTTCTACAACTAACAGCCGCACTCAGAGTCGTTTGATGATTACTTAAGGTGTCCCTCAGTAACGATTTGAAAAAATTCCCTCTCAGAGTCAGTTAATGATTCGTTAACGGCATTTAATGTACATTAAAGTTAAGTAAACAAAAACCTTTACTTAACTTTTTAACGAATGATTTTGAAATTTTTTGTTTGTTTTCAATAAATTTCAATTTCGATAACGTTGCTGTATCAGTGGCAATTCGTGCCATTAAAGAGATCCGAGTTCAATCCTCGGCAACGAATTTTTTTTAATACAATTTTTTTTTAAGTTATTGCTTCAAAAATTCATATTTTTTATTTTATTTAACGTTTGGAAACTTTTTTGATTCATCTTTTTTCTTTCACTTTCAGTTTCTAAAATTTTTAGTTTTTCCTGTTTTTCATTTGGTTTAATTTTTAGAAAACTTATTGCTAAGCGATAAATATAATAGCACTATTAGCACATCTGTCAATTAGTTATTCGAAATATAGAAAAGGGCTTTCAAGATAGTTGCCGAAATATAAAGACTTTTGTCTCTCGAAAAACTGAGGTGAGTTCAAAGGCAGATGCGAAAATTGGCCTGTTATTGGTCTTGTTTGTCTTTTAGCAAACAATTTAATTAAATTTAAAAAAAAAATTGTTTTCTTTTTAAAGCAAGTACCAGGTTGACCGAGCTTTGCCGGGAGTGCATATACTTTTTAAAGTTTTCAAGATCTTATATATACCCTGCAGGGAAAGCTACTAGTTGTGAACTAGAATTCTACCAGTTTGCCTTTCAGCCCAACTAGTTCACGTTCTATCCTTTTTCAATGTTAGCGACTGGTATTTTTAACATTGCGATGTCCTACGAGATGTCAATTGTCAGGCTATGCATCAGCATCTACTAGTAGAAATACTAGTAGCATCATACCAGTTGATGAGATAGTCTGCCAATTCATCCCC